GGTATTTGTCAGTGATGATTTACAATTTCCCTATTTCTGAATTACCACTTTACAGATTAAAAAAACTACCATTCAGTAAATATTAGTAGAGAAACACTATTATTAAAATTCCAAGTCCTTATTGTTTGTTAATGGTGCCATAGATCTACCAGCATCAGATGACGGCGGTGCAGGCGGTAGGCCGCTGCATGGGCTGGCAGCTGCTGGCCTCCAGCGCACACCTCGGCTCCGGACCCGTTGAGCCTCTCAGCAATGCTTCATCCTGTCTGCTCGCTTCGCCCAACGGTATGAACACTGTTAAACCAATTTTCCACCAGGACTACCAAGTTTTATTAAGATAGCTGTCGCCCGCGACTCCTTTGCGGAATAAGCAAAAACTCAATGTGTTGTTTCAGACTATTTTCTACATCTGTGCCAAATTTCACCAAGATCCATTCAGCGGTTCCAAAGATATCTTCAAACATCCATCTATCACATTATATTAGTAAAGTTGCACTTCAGCCGCTCACAGTATCAATATATGTAATTATTTTGTTACAGGAGATAGAATGATCGCAATAAGATGTGAGCCATCAGTTGGAATCCAAGTGTTTATAGCACAATCGCCTAGAAAAGATTTCTTTGCAAGTGAATTGGTGCAAGACAAGAAATGGGAGAACCTCGGTGGCGCATTCAAAGAGATCAAATTGGAAAAAATGGAGGGCAAAAACTTTCTCAACAAGATGGAACTATTAATGGCCTGTCTTAGCAGTCCCTCATAATTTATTACCATAAACTTTTATAATTTTAAGAATAAAACCATTTCAAGCATATCGTATGTTTCATTTATTACATGTAAAAGTCTTAATGTGTAGGTGCTTAGGTAATTGTATTTTATTATTTATTGATGATTGTTCTTGCTTAATTATTCTCATGTCAATGTAGACTCGAGATCAGAATCCAAGGAACTGGAAATAAAAATTTAAAAATTATTAACCATGAAAAATAAGAAACAAATGGATGTGACTCATGGATAAATAACCTTTTTTGTAAAATGAAATTGTTAGGTTAGGTTAGATGACTGAATTATACTAATTGAATGATTTTCTATTAATGTGAATAAACTACTCAAATCTAAGATTACAAGTACTATGAATTTAGTAAAACGCATAATATTTTTCTCACAGATTCAAAAACTGTCCCAAATGTTGAAAAAAGACATAGTAAATTGTTATATAAAGAAAGGGACATGGAAGGACAAGGCAGAATTGATCAATAAGTTTTGTGTAAAAACAAAAATATATATTTTATAATAAAATAGAAATTAAATCTTAGCACAAGATACAGATAAAGACAATATGAGGTTCACATGAGTATTTAATTTGGTTTAACATAAATGAAATAAGTTTATCCATAAAACCCAGAATTATCTTAAAGTTTATATTATTAAGTTTAAATTGTACTATATAATGGTTAGAATTTTCATGTGGAATAAGATACTTGAATAGGCATTGTATTGTATTTAACGAACATTATCAACTACAACTGCACTAAGAATATTAACTTGACAATGTATAGTTAATGTGCGATAAT